TCATAGAAAATTTATATAAAAATTATCATAAAATAATATTATTACTGTAATTTCCTTTTATAATTCAAGGAAAAAGAATTATTTACTTAACATTCATTGTTCATCTTACATAATGTACTTCAGTAAATAAGTATGTATCTATGTCTGCAAATGTTAAAAACATTTGTTTGCAATAATAAATAGATAATTGCAAAGAAATAAGTTTTTTAGAGCCATTAAATTAAAACCCTTCTTTGTTAAGAGACAAAAGTAACGAAGACCATTCTCACGATATGTTTACCGGTATATCTATTGCTATTCTCAGAGGGAGAAAGAAGTCATAAAAGAATACAGTCATCTTTGTCCTCTGTTACTACTGTCATATTGATTAGTCCTGATTACCAGGAGTAGGGAGACAGTACAAAAAGTATAGAGGCAAAAGTTCCGGTCGTAAGTTAAGAATTAAAGATAGCATAAGAAGGCCTATGGCATTTGATAGCATGAATATGCCCCCCATGAACGTTGAAAGAGGGTCGAATATAAAAGATGTGTTCTGTGTAGGAATGTAAAATACACTTTATTGAAAAGGAATAGTTGCTTTTTAACACGAAGATTGGATTTTATGGGTGAGTAAAATGTAAAATATCAATGAAAAATGATTTTTAATCCTTAAACTTTTACCCTTATAAATGCGTCTCCGTTAGTACTTTCGTTGTACTCTTTCACTGTTATTTGAATAAATTATGTACTAGTTTTTTCAAATGTTTAAAAAGTCCAAAAAAATTAGGTAAATTTTTATAATTTTGTAATTTCATATAGCGAAAAAAATTTTTTTCAATATCATTAAATATAGAAGAATGTTAATTATCTCTTCCGCTATTTTTTTGTGTATAATTACAATTTACATTGTTTTATTACCTCTTCTCCAATGTAAAATAACAAAACTTAATCGATACCGATTAACAACGAATCCTATATATAATTAGATTCTAAGTTGCATAACGCACAAAGTAGTCCATACTAAATTTATATATTCGAAATTATTTTTATTTAAATGTTTTTGACACATTTCTGCAATATAGAATAATATAACACACAACAAAATTTTACTAACGTAAATTATTGCATGCTTTTTATAATACTTAAGGATAATATACAATTCAATATTGAACAAAATATATTATAGGCTTTGTATCAATATGACAATACATCGCAAAGTGAAATCACAAATAAAGCGTTTAGCTTCGTTTGAAAAAAAATTATTAGTAAACGAAGCGATGGTCCACGTAAAAAATGGAAATTACCGTAAAGCCCTGTGTCTGTATAATAGAGTAAGTTTTTTTAATTTTGGAACACTTTCTATTATGTAGCTAGAATTGTAGAAAGTAAAAAATCAATAAATTTATCACGCTCGATACATAAATTCCAGTTCATTTGTAACGCCATTATTTTTAAATAAAAAAATGAATAATAAATGTCATCTTTAAAACTTAATATACAAAAAATACAGGAAATCAAATTTATCAATCGAAATGGTAAAAATAAAATCTAATCATTTAGTGATTAATAGATCTAATGAGAATTACTAGTTTCGCTTACTA